AGCTACATCAGAACAGACATATTTAGCATCTAACTCAATCCCATGCAACAAAAAAATATACTATGTGTTCATTATGGTCCATTCTTCCTCGACGAACAAGTACATAAGTGAAAATTTAGTCAAAGACGAGAAAACTGCACACGAAATTTGCCTTATTTACACGTATCGGCAATGCAAGCTACCATGCGACTTCCCCTTCTGACGTCACAAGGGAAATTTCTGTATACAAATAAGAAGCTAATGAGGAGCCTCGTTTTAAAATACACAAAAATAAAGTTGCCGTAGATTGAGTTTAAAACACATTTTTGCACTCAAATAAAATAATTCATGCTTAGAAACATAAAAAATAATAATATTTATGTATCAATGGATAATTTTAGGCATGAAAATAGCAGCCATTTCACAGGCACTTTAAATATCTCTCAATCCATATAGTGTAAATATAAAATTTTTACCATTCCATCAATATTCCATGACAATCATCAATTTGTCAACCAATTTGTTGAAACAACCCATAGCAATTTTTTTTTGTTTATTTTTCTAGTATTGAATTAATGGAAACCATAATAAAATCTGCAAATTTATTTGTATTACAAGTTGAAATGGATGTGTACACAATGGTGAAAAAGGTATGTTGATATTGCTAGCATATTTCTCCCTGATCTCAGCCTCTTTGATTCTGACTGATATAGGTCTTGGTTTCAGTCGATTTTAATTTCCAGTTGTATATTACCTCTATCTATCTATCCAAATCATGTTACTTACCTCTCTAAGTGACAGCATTTGTCAAGTATTGAGATTATGCCTTACTAGAGAACATCCTGGAACATAAGTTCTAGATTGGTTGCTTGTTCTATGAGACCTGTATGTGATTTGCACAGATAATTCATCAGAATAGAGGCAGCAGTAGTATATTAAAAATTGAGACCTGTATGTGATTTGCACAGATAATTCATCAGAATAGAGGCAGCAGTAGTATATTAAAAATTGAGACCTGTATGTGATTTGCACAGATAATTCATCAGAATAGAGGCAGCAGTAGTATATTAAAAATAGAGGCAGCAGTAGTATATTAAAAATTGATCACAGATAATTCATCAGAATAGAGGCAGCAGTAGTATATTACAAATAGAGGCAGCAGTAGTATATTAAAAATAGAGGCAGCAGTAGTATATTAAAAATTGACCACAGATAATTCATCAGAATAGAGGCAGCAGTAGTATATTAAAAATAGAGGCAGCAGTAGTATATTAAAAATAGAGGCAGCAGTAGTATATTAAAAATAGAGGCAGCAGTAGTATATTAAAAATTGACCACAGATAATTCATCAAAATAGAGGCAGCAGTAGTATATTAAAAATTGACCACAGATAATTCATCAGAATAGAGGCAGCAGTAGTATATTAACAATTGACCACAGATAATTCATCAAAATAGAGGCAGCAGTAGTATATTAAAAATTGACCTCAGATAATTCATCAGAATAGAGGCAGCAGTAGTATATTAACAATTGACCACAGATAATTCATCAAAATAGAGGCAGCAGTAGTATATTAAAAATAGACCACAGCTTCTTCCTATATCTTTAATTTTTTACCATCAGACTTACTCACCCAAATTTTTCTGTGCTTTTTTTTTTATAATCTTCAATATTACTGGGAATAACGCCTAATTCTGGAGCCATCAAACATAATTTGAGTTATTTTTCAGTTTTTACTTAAAAAATCTGGCTATTTTTGTTCCAATCTTCTGAAGGGGAAAGTGCAGGACTATTTTGTAAATTTGTGATGAAAAAAGGGAACTGGTGGTGAAAATGTTAAAGGGAAAGTCATTGTTGTGAATTTTTATAGTTGCCTAATATTATGTGTATGTGCTGTTAATTAAAATGTATTTGTTGTTGTTGAAAATTGTGTACATGTCGAATTCTAAGGATTTTAACATACATGTATGCCTCCTAAAGGCTATCCTCGGGGGCGGAGCTACGTCACAGACGTTCTACGTTGCTAAGACGCACACCACTGTACCACGTATTTCTATGGGCTTTGTGCGCGCTGCTGTGGAACGCCTGTGGAGCCGGTGAAAACTCGAGAAAACAACACAAACTCAACTTTGAAGTAATCCTGAACAACCAAATTCATATATGTTACACACGTAGGGCTAATCTTGTTACACTGTTCAGGGCACTCTCAACAACCATCGCAAAGTACCGTTTTCTGTGAGTTGTTGACTCCCATGTGCGAAGCACAAAATGGGAGTCTTTGCAGTTAGTGTGTCTGTATGTGTGTATGTGTGTATGTGTGTATGTGTGTATGTGTGTATGTGTGTGTGTATGTGTGTCCGACTGTTCCACTGCTATCTCAAGAACCATACATCGGTTTTTGATGAAACTTGGTGCATAGATGCTCTGGGCCAATGCGCAGATTTGATTAGGTTTTGGTAAAAATCCATGCTTGTTAATTACCTAATTTGCATGATAATTAGCTAATTTTTAGCTGTTCTATGACTGTTCCACTGATATCTAAAGAACCACTCATTGGATTTTGATGAAACTTGGTACATAGATGCTCTGAACATATGCGCAGATTTGATTAATTTTTGGTAAAAATCCGTGCATATTAATTACCTAATTTACATGATAATTAGCTATTTTTTAGTGGTTCCATGACTGTTCCACTGATATCTAAACAACCACTCATTGGATTTTGATGAAACTTGGTACATAGATGCTCTGAACTAATGCTAGGTTTTGATTAGTTTTTGGTAATAATCCGTGGATACTAATTACCTAATTTGCATAATGATTAGTCAATTTTCGGTTTTTCCACTGATATCTCAAGTACTAATCATCACATTTCAAATGA